AAGGTACAATCAGAAGAAATCTTTCAGTTAAGGAAGAAGCAACCACTTTTTATGAAGAAAGTAAAAGAAGGTTACAACAGGATCGCCACTGGCTTCTATTTTGAGCCGTATCTGATAACGTCTCTAGCAACTTGGTTACACTATCTCTCGGACCCAAGCCAGGGAGTCGTGAAGGACCAACAGAAGCGAGCCTTTTGCAGCTTTCTTTCATACCACGACACCATGTCATATACTGACCAGCTTTCTGCTTTTTCCAACCAGTCCCAGAGTCGGCAAATAATGCACGACGAGGAATTCTCTGTGAGACATTCGTAGAACATGTCCAAGCCAGCGAAGTCGGTGTTTCAAGATGGTGACACCAATTGGATTATCGTCTCTGTGACCGAACACACGATGCCGGACCTCTGCATTACTAACATGGTGTTGCCACTGGATGTCAGCAATCCTTCGGAGACAACGATGATCGAACACGGAGAGACGTCTAACATCCTCAACTCGGAGAGGCCAGGTTTCACAAGCATAGAGTAGAACTGCTCTCACCGACGCGTTGTATATCCGACCTTTTACAGCCAGGCTAACATCACGAAGTTGCCAAAGATGGCCCAGATTGGCATAAGCCGCTCTGACTTTCACTATACGTGCATTGATCTCATCACTCATGCCACCACCAGCACTTATGCAGCTACATTTACATTTATGTCATAATGCTGTCATATATTACTTTCAATTAAGTCTTCATAATATTGTCAAATCCTTAATAATGAACAATATTCGTTCATCAATATTTCGAACAGTTTAAAATTAATTATAGGATTCTATTAAGAAATGAATGTTCAATAAAGCAGTTCATTCTGTTTAGTGAATTTATTTCCTATATGATATGCGTTTTATCCATAATTTGAAATTATAAATTACTGTGAATATGTAGCACTGACTTGATTTCTTTTTTCGACAATGCAGTTAAACTGTTTGCCAAAAACTATTATTACATGAAAACTACATAATTTAATGCTTTCTTCATCATTTTTTCAATCGTGTTTTTCTTATGTTTGTCTTTTTTGTTTCTCGCTATATTCAAGCATCCATTTCACTTTTTTCTTGTCCTAATAACGGTTGAAGGAGTTTTTCATAGATTAATATCAATTAGGTTATTAATAAGAACCAATGTGTCAGTTATATGATCTTAGTGTTGGATATCTCAAGCATAAGCACCCACAGCTCCTCTCAAGGGTCTAACTCACGACATTGAGTTTTCGTTGAGAGCCCTCAACCATTTTATCATTGAATCGACATTCAATGATACACATTTCCAACTTCAATCAACTCATAATATAGTGCGACAATCATCCAATATCATTATTGGTTACTGTTTCGCTCGTAATATATCTGAACTTCACCGGCCACATCCGCTTACTTAAACTTCAACAACTCGTCTTTTAGTAGACACAGTAAGATATTATCGATGCGTAGATTCTAAAAAATTTGTCTGATTACTTTTATGCCGTGTTGGTGCTCTCTGTTTTTTAATAATGTCTCAACTGACGTCAATCTTTGGCAAATTACCTACTACAAATTCAGCTATAAATGTTAAACCAGGTATGTTTGTTATGTGACGTCTTTCCTGGTTCACTTCTCTATCTAAATGAAAAGAAACAACAACATTTATCATAACAAGGATGATAATAGTAATATAATCACAGTAGCACAAACACGAATTGACTTGTGTCCTATATTTCTTCTTTCTATTTATGTTTATCTGCCCAATAATTAACCTGATCGATGGTTAAACTATTTTGTACTTTAAGCATTAAAAATAAAAGTGTAATCCCTGCTGATACACAATGAATGGTCATATCAGTGCTAACTTTTCATACCAATTGGTTTGTGTTGTTAGCAGAACTTTATGTTTTTGAGAGGGGGGGTAAAGAAAATAAAATATTTCAAACTGATCAGTCAATCAATCATTTATTTGTTTATGTATATTTTTCCTAGTCTCCTGTGGTAAAATATATCCTCTAAAAGTTAGGCATTAATTGTTTAGTGATTAGACCGCTCAAATTTTAACATATATGTCTCGAATTTGAACCTTATTATACCCTATTCAGTTTCCACAACCGCATAGTCGTAGTTGTGGTAGTAGTAGTAGTAGTATTAATAGCCATCACATAAACAGTATACCCTAAAGCCCTCCAATTATAAGGAAAAACATTTGGTAAATGAATTGCTTTAATAAAGCAGTGATATTTTTTGAAAGTTAGTCAATTTAATGAATTAGTGATTGATAATTCCTAATTTTAACGGAGTTTGAAAAGTGCAGGTTTGGTATTTATTAGTATGTATCATTTACAACTAGTCACAGTTTGATATGAAGGCCTGCCCAAAGTTTTAGCCCACTATCTTTCAAAACGTATATTTATTCCCATTAACTATCTTATTTTAGGTTTATTTCAACTAATTAACATCTGTCAAGCAATCTTACTTGCACACTTACATATAATTTTTAAAACCTATCCGGAGTCCAATTACTGCGATACTCACGAAGTATCACTACGTTGATTGGTGGATTTTACTACTCTACTTACTCCCTTCCTTAGAGTAACAAGAGGTGATTGCTACAAAATTCGTGCATCAAACACATTCGGCAGTGAAAAGAAACGCTATGGAAAAAAAATTTGATCGTAAATGTTTACAGATGAACATAACTGGCAGTTATTTACTGTTTGAAATGTTTTTGTAACTATGCTCTGAATATTCATATTTTGAATGCTTAGAAAATACGAGTTTTATTGCTATAATTTACCTACCTAATCACTGTTCTAAGGTTCTATCCTAGGACGAAACAAATACCCAGTACTTTGTCGCTTTCAGTAGGTTTTCCAGGTGACGTCAGTCGGTGATGAAACACTTGTCTTTTCCAATTGAATTGATCTCCAAAAAGTCATACGTCTAATTATGTGTATATATTGATAAATAGATGTGTATATGTCCATACAGTCCTTATTGGCATACCGTTTATTTATAAATACATCTGGATCACATCTTATATTCACATATTTTTAACTTTTTCTCTTGAACATATTTTTCAGAATCTCCTATTAATAAAAAGTGTTTTAGTCATTATATGTATGGATATAATTCTGTCTGTTTTTTTTTCTTTTAATCACCATTACGAAAAAATGGGTGACGTGTTTGATTAAAAACTAAACTAAGGCTGAGAGTCTGAACCGATTTCATAAATTTTAGTAGGTAATTGAATACATTTATTACTAGGTGTACTGCTTCAAATAAGTTAATTAATATACCATGCAGTTTTGAGTTGTTTAAACAAGGAGATTAATCTCAAAGTGGTTATTCACCGAAACAATATTTAAAAAACGCTTCTCTTTCTGTAACCTTTAATTATGAGTATGGCATCAGAGGAGTTATGGAAAATTCCTCAATTACGGTCCTTAGTAGCACTGACCACTCAAAATCTCTACAAAAAACTAAACTACTAATCAAATTTCTCTTAGAATAAGTGTGATGTCACAAATAACTGTACAAAATTTAGTTTGTAGAAATCCATTAGTTTTAGGACGGATGTTGCTATCCACATGAAATACACAGATAATCGGTTTTAATTGGATGTTTAAAAACAAGATAATATCCAAATTAATAAGAATCAGTTCGTTTTTATAGAATTTAGTTAGTTATTCCTTCGATTAATCATGTAGATTTTATGTATGATTTTAATTCCTCAGAAATTGGTGAAAGGTTCATGTTTTGACAAAAAACTATTACGTAAAAAACTGAGTTACACAATAAAAATAGATTTCAGTTAACAATTTTGTTGACAGGGTCTCATTCTCTGAGCTACATGATTTAATTGATAAACTTTCGTTGTTCTTCTGAATAACGTCGTTAGCACATACTTGAGGTAGAAATGAGCTATTCGAATTTCTGCACATATAACTCACAGCTTATGCTGCAGACCCTGAGTTTGATTGGTTGTTATTAATCTGTATCCTGTCATTAAATATTTATTTTGATTGTCTCCCTCTTTGACCCGATTCTTAATCATATATTTATCCATGATATTTCTAATTCGTGTATGAATTGGATCGATTTCAACGTGTCCATTGACTGATGATTGATCTGAGTTCCATCAATAATCTTGTTGTAACTTCTGATTTGTTCTTTATATATCGTGGGATGATCCGTTTGTTGGTTTTTTTGTTCCATTTGGTTTTTGCTTATGGGTTCGATGGATATTTTTTGAGTTGGGTGGGTAGCCGTCCTTTTTAAAAGCAATCACTAAGTATTTTTCCGTGCAGTGTTTTCGCTCTTCAGGATTTCGTTTACAGGTGTTTTTATGAGTCATTGGGTTGTTGCTATTGTAGATTGTGACCGATGTTAGTAATGAAAATTCTATAGGGTGATAACCATAAGTCGAAATACTATTTTGACTTTTTTTCCTTTACTGCAAAGAATAATTTGGGTGTGAGGGTTAATTATTTGGATAAAAGATGTTATTTTATTGCTTTTTATTGTTAATTGTTTTTTAAACTATCTAGCGTTTCCTGAATGGCTGATAAGTCGCCTTAGGCCGTTACTCCTCTTTTCTACTCTGCAAATCTAACCATCGGCATTATGAAATAATTTTCTGAAGAAATTTTCATCGAAATTAATCAATGCACCACTGTTGTCATCATTCTCATTATATGATTGTTTCTGAGTGTAATTTGGTTGCTACTTTGTTTTCTCTTAAGCATCTTAGCCACCAATTAAGGTATTTTCAGTATTTGGTAGTAAAACAGCATTTCACTACACCTTTACCTTGTTTACCAAAAAATCTACATTGCATCACATACGTGCCGAATGTGTGAACTGACAAAAGTGCTAACAAATTATTTTGGTTTTCTCCCTTGTCATTACTTAATCGTTATTCCAGAAGAACACAACGTTTGTTTTTTTAAAAGAAATTATAATTATTTTCTGTCGATTTCTTTTCATTATCAAAGGCTCATTGTATTCGTGGTGGTTGTCGTGAAGCTGATGGTTGGTGTCGTGTATTATGGGGTAAAACTGCCAGACTTGCTGATAAATATTGCTTTTATGAAAATGAAGTAAAGAGTAGAAAATCTAATGTCGATTCTGTGGCAAATTGTGGCGTACACCGACCATTATCTAAAAATCGATGGGAAGACGTAAAAACGTGGACAGGAATAGCTTGTGAAACATGGTAATTTTTGTAGTTCATTTTCCTTTTTTTCATGCAATCCATTATTCTTAAATTGGTTTTACTGCAATTTAAGAGTAGATTGGTCTTAAAAAATAAATGTCCGAGATTTAGAACAAACTTGTAGGTCGTTTATTCCTACGGATATGAATATCATTTATTAAGTTCCAGTTGATCAGTTTTTGTCGCTTCTCTATAATGACTACTTATAAGAATGTTTCGATATCGTTTTTAACTGTCATTTTATACATAATCAAGGCGGGGAGAAGTGTAGTGTCTTTTAGGATTACCACACTATTTAATGACTTATTTCCTCCCACAAATTATCACGTGACAAAACCACCAATCAGAGTACGGATTTCTATGAATTGACTCAAAGTGAGAATGAGTAAGCCAACAAACTTCTAATTGATTTAAATGAAATGCTGAGTGAGATATTTGGAAACGGTTTTCAGTGAGATAAATGGATATATTCTTTATTTTTGGTATATGTTACGATTCTAGATAGTAGTAGTATAATGCAGGATGCATATTTTTTACCCTATTCGGAAAGTCATCAGTTGAATGTGTTTGCTTTTCACATTGAAACTCGATCTCTCTATCCATCACTTCAGATCTATGTTTTGGATTTCAATTCTAACTGGAATGTAAAAATATTCCAAAAGTTTGTATTTGTATATGGTATCAAGGCATCCTCACTCGATTTACATATTCCAACAGAGACATAAAATAATAGTCCTAAATCATAACATGGGGATAATACAACTCTTCACAAATTTATCCTCTATACTTTATCTTTTTTACAATCATTGATACCACAATTATTTCGAATAGTGCTTTATTTATATGATTGATTTTCTCCTTTTGTACGGTGATATGTGATGAACCAAGTGTCAGTAATGTTCGTAACTAAAGTAATCAATAATATGTTACTTTAAACCCCCACCCTTTTGACTCAGTATTATCTCGTTCTGATCACCCCTTATTTAGCTATCAATCAATAAAAATTTTACTCTTATAAATATTTTCCTTTTCCTAATTATTCATCTTTACATTTCCAATTGCTATTCAGTGTGTGTATTTTGCTCTCACTTTCTGACGAAATATATTTGTTTTGTACTGATTACAGTGATTCACATATGGGAAGCAGATAAAGTATTAGAAAGTAGTTTTACTGATTTTGACTTTAGTTAATACATCTAGACTGTGTGCTTCGACAGTATAACAGAACTTGTTTTAGAAGCAAACCTATGAAAAAAATGAACCTAACAAGGTTCCGAACAGCAATCTGATCGATGGATGGTAACCATTAGGAAAATCCAGGAAGCACATATCGTCCTGATTTTTTACTCGTCAGCTGAGTGTACATGCATCCCAGAGCTGATATTCTTTCCCAGACTTGAATCCAGTACCTTTCTCTTCAAAAGTCATCGCGTTAAAATGTTTGTGACTTACTGATAACATCCAGGCAATCCTCACAGCATCCACATATACCAAAAGAGGTTGATCAGTTGTAATCGTAAACACCATTGTGGCGATTCATATAACCAATATGTCATGAAATAAAATGTAATCTCAAATTGCAACAATTTGCAATTTGCAATTTGATTAATTTATGTATTCATTGAATTGCTTAGATAGATGACATTCAAAGTGTTGAATACTCCTTTCTTCATTTAACAGTGTGTATCATTCAATCGAAATTTTAAGTGAAGAAATTTTATTTGTTTTGTATCGTTTGGAAGATATTAATACTAACAATCATGATTATTATTATTAAAGTCTTCATTGAAATTTAATGATCAATATCAGCTCAAAAAAATTCTAGATATCCTTGAAAGATATATTATTTCATTTGTACTTTTTTCCACTTTTTTTCCTGTTGTATTTGTGTGTCGCTCATTTCCAATTTCTCGAAAAGAAATTTCTAAAAAAATGCATGACGTAACTAGTATAAGCTACTGTTTGATTGGGGTGAGTGGTTTAACCATCTAAATAATTCACAACCGTTTGATGCCTGTGATTTTGATGAAATTCTGTTCTCTGAGCTGGATGGTCTGGTCATGGAACCTTCATCGTTCTTCTGAACAACATTATCAGAACAAACTTTAGGTAAAAGTGAGGTGTTCAAATTTCTTCACATATGACTCATATCTTGCCCTGCAGACCTCGACCTTGATTGGTCATTTTTGACTTTTAACCTGTCATTTTCACTTCTTTATTTTGATTATACCTCTCAGCGATTTGATTCTTGGTCCTATATTTATCTATAATTTTTCTGATTGGTTGATAGAATGGATTGATTTCAATGTGTTTGTCGATTGCTGATTGACCTAAGTGGCAAGCTTCTAAAAGTTCTCTGATGTTTATAGAACTTCCTCCATTCAATATCTCAATATTTTTTTCCAGCCGAATGTATTCCCACATTCATTGAGATATGCGAGGATACGTAATAGCGTTTCTCCAATAATTGATGTTCGTGCAAGCGAAAATGGAAGGTGTCCCCTTTACCCGATGTAGTGTTTTTCGCAGTTGGAACAACTCATTTTGCAGATGATGTTCGGTTTTTCTTTTGTCATTTCGTCCTTTGGTTTGCATAGAATTGATTAAGGCGATTTTGTTGGTTTGTGTGCTTCACTTATTCCAAAAGGCTTCTATAATTTCATTGCAATTTCTGCCACATCTTTTATATATGGCAGCATGATGCGTTTGTTGGTTTTTGTACTTGATTTTGTTTTGCTTATGCGTTTGGTTGATATTTTTTGATTAAGTTGATTAGTTAGCCGTTCTTTTGAAAGATAGGCTTTAGATATTTCTCTTCATTTTTCCGCTTTGCAAGTGTGTTTCAGTGTGTCTTCGCTCGCCTTGTTGAGTAAAGTTTGTACGCAGTTGATTTTGTGAGTTCACCCACCTGAACTACAAATCTCTACCATGCCTGTGATATAGATTGTGAATAATGATATATTTCGATTGGTACGGGCTATTTTTTATCTGTTAGGGATGTTCATTTTCTTCTCTAACATGGATAAAAATTTGGTTGGGTATGAAATAAATGTTAGGATGTTCTGTAAAGATATAAGAGTATTTGGACGAGCTTAACAAGATCTTAAAATGACCGCGTGATTTTGAAGCCACTTTTCAACCAAAAGCCAGATTGTTTGTATTGATCAAACTATAACACAAGAGACGGAATTAAATCTATCACAACTTAATGGTCAAGTATTTATCAATAGGATCAAATGGTGAGGGTTAGAACTCTCATTCTAAATTGACATCAATTATTATGAAAACATGCTCTGTAGCCACATGAATTAGTGAATTTCGTCCAGGAATTTAAGAGGCCTTATTTGACTAGTTCTTCTATCAAATGTTATGCCAATAGGTTAAGGTTTGTTTCAAGATTGGGTTTGGAGTCAATGTTTAGGCTTAGTGCCGACTTCCCTGTTCTGTACAATCTCAAGAGACAGAATCAATTATTTGATACATTTAACAATGCTAATTTTGCTCTTTAGTTGCAAAGAATCACTTTTCATTATCATTGTATATAAAAGTATTTCTGCTTCTCGTTATTCGTGATTTTTGAATTTCACACAAAAACCTAGAAGTCATGTTCTCGATTATAATTAATTTGCCTTCAAAGTATACTCAAACCGATAAGTCATATATTTTTAAATCCCGGTTAAAACTAGAAAGTAAACTTTTGGATTCGAATTGGCCCACCCCTATAGCGGAAATATCATTCTCTACAGAGAGAAGCGTTGATCATCTCCGTGCTGGTCAAAGAAGGAATGTAGTGGTGAATTGTTTTTCTCATTAACTGTTTGTGTCCAAAACTATGAGTCATACAAATTTGTCTATATCCACCTTGTTTTCATTAGTTTTGCAATAAGATATATGTAAATCATTGAGTCTATATTGTTGTGAGAAGAATACTATAAAGGTCACCAGATCAAGCTTTCAATATGTATCTTGACATTCTGTGTACTACTAATAATATTACTACACTAAGTTTTGTATCCAAAGACATTCAAGGCTTGAAATCCTAGGAAACTTTATGATTTAATCCGTCTTATTTTTCTTTAGACTGATATATTTGTTAAATCACTGTAGGCACGATCGTATAATATCAATAAGTGATATCGTCGAGAAAAATTCTTCATTAACTTGTATTTATTTCACATTTAATGTTTATTTTAGCTTCATTTCTCCACCAAGTTAGAGAATTTTTTTCCTTCATTCAGGCATGATACATCCTGTGGACGATTATGGTGTCATCATCAAAATGAAAAAGCTATGCTTCTTGGTTGGATTCAGTCACAAACACGTGTTATTCACTCATCTGGTCGATCATGTTCTGCCCTAGTTTATGATCCAGTTTGGCCAGCTTCAGATCCTGCCACTTGGGACGAGAACAAATTAGTTCAAATTAATGCGAATGGTGCAGGCGTTGGACTTTATTCAGCAAACACACAAGATGCTGGTATGGTTCCTGATGGGACACCTTGTTCTCGAGGCGTAAGTTTAATGACGTTATAATAATATCTTTCAAAATACAATTATTTGTATTAACTGTAGTTATCCATGGATTGACGCATTTAATTGTTTGAATTTTATTGATTCACAAGTTAACCTTTCTTGTGCAACATGACTGACCTTAGGTTTGGGTGCCTACACAAAAATCGACTTTATCTTAAATGAATGGAACAAACTCCTTAAATTGTTTTACAAAATGATTGTTTCATATTCAAGTTTAACTGATGTATATAATTATTTTACTAATGAATTTTACTTGTAGGGTATGTATATCTAGTAAGTGCATGTAAGCCTTGATAAACCACAGTTATATATTACCAAGAAGAAAGAGGGGAACATTCGGTTTGACGATTAAACTATAGAAATTTGTAAGAGTTTTACTGAATACTACTTAGCATCCAAATACCTTGGTTTTGTCGAGTGATGAGAGTCTATTCTCATGCAGTTTATAACCTCTGTCAGGTAAGTTCTACCTATTATCACCTTCACGGAACAAGAGTTATGTTTCTGTATATGAAGTGTCCTGACCGTTGTTGCTACCTTGACGTGGTGGTCGGGCTTGCCTATCGTGATGAAGCAACTGAGCTATACTGGCTGGAACAACCGTTCCTCAAGGTCCTACCATGCCAGACAGGTCGGTTGAAGAGCGGTAAGACTAAAAGCAACAAAACCAAGGTCCGAAGGCGAAGTCGTACTGCTGACTGTACAGAGGTGTGACAGCAGTAAGGTGTTTCCTTCAGACAACCAGCATGACAGCGATGCTGCCTTCCCACAAGGAGGGGTGGGGTTAGAAAAGGTCGACCCTAAAAATGCACACCTCGCCTTATCCCACGGATATCCGTCTCCGGCGGTAAGGACTCAACAAGTACGGAGCTAACACAAAAATCACTCATAAAAAGGTCGTGTGTGACCGACCTCAAGCAGCTGTCCCTTGGGCACTGCGGTCACGCTCTCAGGTCACTATGACCACCTTTAATCCAATTTCCTTTTCAGGTACCTCCAGAAGAACCCTTCCACGGTGTGGGCAACCGGGAAGTGATAACCGCCCTCATACCTCTAACAGCACTCAAGACCACTGTATTCATAGTCAACCTCCCTCTTCAATTCCTATTATTCCTCCTACATCGACTTTATACACTAAACTTCCTCTTTTAGCTTCCTCCTCAAGTGTCACCACAGCCAACGATTCTAGTGCTCAAAACACTGTCCCAGGTCTACTGAAACCTCGCTCCAAACTATACATTGGAGCCTTCAACGTACGCACACTATGCCAAATCGGTCAGCAGGCTTCCTTGGCTAAAACCTTAGAATCTCGTACCATTGATGTATGCTGTGTCTCCGAAACACACATACAGGATCCTAGTGTGGTCATTCACTTGACCTCACCTCGGCAAAACGGAGAGCCAACGAGATACACCCTCCGTGTATCTGGCGACCCGATGGCTAGTTCTCGTGGACTGGCAGGTGTAGGCATAGCACTTAGCATGAGGGCGGAACAAGCGCTATTAGAGTGGATCCCCGTTAACAGTCGTCCATGCGCTTTTCGGCTAAACGGCTCCGTAAGAACTCGGAAGGATAGGGACACACGTCGTTGCCTTTTCGTCGTTTCTGCCTACGCTCCCACTGACTGCAGTTCGGATGAAGTGAAAGATGAATTTTACAGAAAGCTGTCTGAACTTCTTCAGAAAGCTAAACGTTCAGACATAGTACTCGTAGGAGGTGACTTTAATGCCCAGGTAGGTAGCTTAAACAAAACAGAAAGACATTTAGGTGGGTATTTTAGTATTCCGGCACAGCGAACAGATAATGGTGATCGTCTGCTGCAACTGTGCTCAGACAATCGTTTATTTTTAGCAAACACAAATTTTAAGCATAAGGAGAGACATCGTCTAACATGGCGACCCCCTGCACCAAACCAACGATGGACTCAAATAGACCATATTGCCATCAGTCATCGTTGGAGAGGGTCAATAGAAGATTGTCGCTCATTCTGGGGTACCTGCTTGGACTCTGATCATGCCCTAGTACGAGCACGCATCTGCTTGCGCCTCACTGGACGCAAAAGAGCCACACAAAAAAGACTCATTAGAACCGAATTGAGTAATGAGAAAGCCAAAAGTAGGTTCCAGGAACAACTGAGGTCACACTTAGGTAGTTCTGAAAACGAGACTGACCCAGATGTTGCTTGGAAAGTTATACAAGCAGCTGTGGAAACAGCAGTGACATCTACCAGTGATTTAAACCAAATGGTTACAAAAAACCAATGGATTTCGTCAAGGTCTATTGCACTGATAGATTCTCGCAAACTCATCCCATCAGGTTTTGAATACGATGAAGAGCGTAAAGAAATCAAATCTAGATTAAGCAAAAGTCTAAGGAATGATCGTGAGCAGTGGTGGGCAACGAAAGCAAAAGAGATGGAAAAGGCGGCGGCTATAGGGAACACAAGACAACTCTACAGACTAATAAAAGAAACTGGAATTAATAAATCAAGTGTAAGTCAGACCATTTCGGAAAAAGACGACACTCTCATCTGCTCCCAGTCCAGACGCTTAGAACGATGGGCGGAACACTTTAAGGAGCAGTTTAGCTGGCCTTCAGCTACTCTACAACTACCCTCTATTCCCAGACAGTGTGAATGGAACATTGAAGTAGGTCCCCCAACTCTAGCTGAAGTTCAAAAGGCTATAGCTAATCTAAAACGAGGAAGGGCAGCTGGTCCAGATGGATTGGCCCCAGAGGTCTTTAAGGATGGTGGTCTAGTCTTAGCGATTAGGTTGACTAATATTTTAGCTAAAATCTGGGAGTTAGACGTTATTCCATCTAACTGGTCACAATCACTTATCGTCCCAATATTTAAGAAAGGGTCAAAATCATCCTGTGACAACCACAGAGGGATTAGTTTGACTAATATAGTATCTAAAATACTAGCTTCGATAATTTTCGGACGCCTAACTAAGACTCGTGAACTGCAAACACGTGAAAATCAGGCTGGCTTCAGACCTGGTCGTGGCTGCATCGACCACATATTCACCATTCGTCAGGTTCTAGAACACAGGCATACTTATCGGCGTCCGACAATGGTGGTATTCCTTGACTTAAAAGCAGCGTTTGACTCTGTTGACCGAGAGGTTCTGTGGCAGTGTCTGTCATTGAAAGGCGTACCTCAGAAGTACATAAACCTTGTGAAGGCTCTTTACTCGAACACTGCTAGTCGGGTCAGAGCCTATGGCGAACTGTCATCTGCTTTTGCAACCTCAAGTGGGGTCCGTCATGGCTGTCCACTTTCTCCTTTTTTGTTTAACTTTATCATAGACATCCTGATGGAAATAACGCTCTCATCGACTGACTTCTCTGGTATTGATCTCCTACCAGGAGGTCCACTTATTGACTTAGAATACGCAGATGACATAGTCCTGTTTGGTGAAGATGCTGATGAAATGCAGAGTCTTTTGGTAGCACTGAGCAACAATGCCAGAATGTTTGGGATGCGCTTTTCTCCCTCCAAATGCAAGTTGTTGCTTCAGGACTGATCTGCGTCAACACCTGAACTAAGGATAGGGGGTGAAGTAGTCGAACGCGTCGACAACTTCACTTATCTTGGAAGTCTGATCAGCCCTAATGGGTTGGTGTCTGACGAAATCTCAGCACGGATTCGAAAAGCTCGCTTGACCTTTGCCAACTTACGTCATCTATGGCGAAGGCGAGATATCCGTCTATCAATTAAGGGACGAGTATACTGCGCGTCAGTTCGTTTCGTTCTACTATACGGCTGCGAAACTTGGCCTTTAAGAGTAGAAGATATTCGTAAGTTACTAGTATTTGACCACAGGTGCCTTAGAAATATTGCTGGGATCACCAGGTAAGTAATAGTGAGGTTAGACGCAGGGTATTAGGGAATGATGGTAAATCAGTTGATGAGGTTATGAATCTTCATCGACTGAGATGGTTGGGCCACGTGCTGCGTATGCCTGAACACCGATTACCACGACGCGCAATGGTAACCGGTGTTAGGGATGACTGGAAGAAAGTTAGGGGCGGCCAAACCAAAACGTGGCATCAGTGCTTGAAGTCACTAACTTCTGTTCTGAGCCATGTTGGTAGATGCAGACTACCTGGTTGGGGTCCGCGTGACTATCGTAACCAATGGTTGGAGACTCTTGGTGACATGGCTCAGAATTTATCACAATGGCGTCGGTGTATACACTCTCTGTCTTCCTTAAACTAAGAGATTAAAATCGCTTCATATCTGTCTAAGAACTAATTCTTTCTTCCTTTACTATCTCCTTATACACACTCTTTCTTCTATATATAACCACCACTGAATTAACTACTTCTATGAATCCGGTGTTCATCTTGTTGTGCTAATGCGGTATGGGAACTTGGACCGATGCATATACGTGCCTGGTCCTACGTTGCAGCTGACTGACTGACTGATATGAAGTGTCATATCCGAACAAAGAATAAATGAATGGTAACTGCTAGGAATTGTTTATGGACTAATACTACATATATTCTTATCAGATAATTATTATGTAACTAGATTACACATATATTCATATTCCTTTTATCATAAGCTTTCATTTGACCCATTAACTACTGTTTTTCGATTTACCACCCTTAATTTATTCCCAATCTTTTTTCCACAGTCTTCTATACTCAACCGCTTTCGACTTGATCTTGTATAATAATTATTTTTCATTTGATGGTGTGATGCGGTCTTGTCTGCTTGTATATAAACCACGTATGTCTGAAGCATATGGATATTGTGTTCTGGACTCAACGGGCAGCGTCAAGCGAGTTGACTCAAGGGTGCTAGTGCTGGTTAACGTGTCGTTGGTCATAGAAGTTGATATTCTGACTATCGATTTCGACATATGATGTTTGACGGACTATAGGATATAACAGTTTTCAGCTCATATATTAATATATTTGTATGGATGGAAACGATGTTTATCGAAAAAGAATTAGGTGTATGAAAA